CGCAGCCATGCCCGCCGGCGTGCCTTGGCACACCTACCTGAAGGCGCTGGCGGCCAGCATGCTGGCTATGTTCGCCGGAGCTGAGGTGGTGCACAGGTACTACAGGCCTGACCTTGTAAGTGCCCGGGCGGCTCCGGTCGCTGGTCGCGGTACGGAGCCCGGTGGCGTGTCTGCGGGGTGGAGGGCCTCCTGCAGAGGGTTTGTGTAGGGGCGTCTCTGGCCCGGCTCCAAAAGGTGCTCAGCCTCTGAAGAGGCAGCGAGCAGGTGGCCAGGGCATCTCTTGGGAGCTGCCGTCAAACTGGCGACGTGGTACCGAAACCGGGCAAGCGATGCGAGCTTCTTCAGCAGGGGTTTCTGCCGTGGGAGGTTGTTTTTTTGAAAAGAGCATGCAAAAGCGCCGAGAAAGGGCTCTATTAGACTTAAATAGACTTTTCCCCCTCCGTTAATGGAGATGAAGATGACCACAAGTTTATCTTGGAAACAATGACAGGCTGAGAGTCAAGCCTATCAAAATTCGGGTTGCAGAGCCAAGCTCCACATGAGACCACTCTTCAGGGATATTAACGGTTGATTTGGTCTCTTGGAGGCCTTCTAGTTTGTAAGCGTTATCTTGTCCTTCTGTTCTTGTATACTTTTTGTTTTTTCATAAAAACTGTGCTGTTTTCAAATCAGAAATAAGTTTAAAAATCACCATGCTGGAGCTATCATGTCAGAATGCCATATTTATTCAGAATGACATAATGATCACCTCTTTAGCACAAATTTTGAGGAGGTATGGTTCTTGAAATATCATGTCATCTGCTATATTTTCCTTTTTTAAATTTCATCTTCAGTTTCAGTGCCTAATTTCTAAAACAGAAAGATAGAAGCAGTGAAACTTTTTATTTTGTAAACGAGAGAAAGAATGTCTGTGGAAACTTCAACTCTGCCAGACATCTCAACCAAACTTACTTTTGCAAATGGCAAAAAGAAGCTTTGTTCCTTTAAAAAAACCTATTCTTACTTTTTTCTTTTTTTTTTTCCAAATATTTTGCTACTTTGAAATAAGTCAAATTACAAAAAGGTAATAGGTTAATTCTTAGATGTTTTGCATGTAAGAATTTTACTTGGCTCAAAAAAAGAAGGTGGTATAATCACAATTCAGCTATAATGCTGTTTTTTACTGAGTGTGCTAATTTACTGTTTTGTGAGTTTAATTTTTCATCTGCCATAATGGTGACGTCTTTCTCCATTTTTTAACAGAGTATACCTGAAATACCCCCTAAGCCTGGAGAACTGAAAACAGAACTGTTGGGTCTAAAAGCAAGATCAAGCTAAGTTCAAACTTCAGAACAGTGACCAGAATGTTGTGAAAACTGGAACTCAGGTTTTTTCAACTGTCTCAGCTGCAGAAATACTCTACTCCGTTAATACTTTTTTTTGTTTGTTTGTTTCCTTCAAGCAGTTACAGGCAGCATTAAAATGTGTGATGAATACTGTTGTTAGAAGTCCAATCGGTTGTGCACAAGTGTTTATGATTTCTTAATCTTGATTGCAGTGTAAGTATCCTTCAGAATAAAAGATGCAAACTCCCATTGGCAAATCTGATGGAATTTGAATCTTTTAAGCTGATAAGTATAGGAAGTTCAGCATATTGAAAAGTTAAGATTTTATGGCCCCTCACTAGCCTTAATAAGCTTACCTGTTAATCTGCAGTAGAACCCCAGTCACCCGTTGGCATTTCTCCCCTTTTTATACTTTAACTTGGTATTACTCGATGTAACCCAGAATCCAGTATAGTAAGTGATGGCATGTACAAACAAGAAAGATTATGTATTGTGGCACTTCTTGCACTGGACTCCTTCTAATGCTGTAACAGCAGTTACTTTAGCTTTCTATTACTGACAGGAAATTATACTGTAAGGCTGGGTAGCATCTTACAACTTGGTTGCATCAGTTAAAATGGGGCAAATACATACAGATCACACTGAAATTATATACCTTTGTAATCCATTTGAGCATATTCTTCTGTTTACAGCTACTTTTGATAGCTGTAAATATACAAAACTCTGAAGTAACAAGTGCAGATTTACCTTTCCATCCTGAAATAGCATTGCTGCAAAAATCTCATCCCAGAACTTAACACAGTCAACATCCTACAAAGACAGTACAACAAGCCATTTTCGAATGGTATGCAGAAGAGCTTGTGAAAGTTAGGGATTGCTTTCCCTTGAGAAAGGTACCCAGATAAGGCATAGGCTTCATCCTCAATTCTCACTCATTTAAGAAAATGAAGAAAAAAAAGAAAAGCACTATCTGACAAATGACCCATTAAGGAAACAAAAAAGCTCCCTAATTCCTATTGGCAAAGTACTGGGAGGTCTTGTAATAGGAGAGGGATCCAGAAACAACCACTGGAAGTGCTACTTTTACATGTGTTCCAGCTGTGAAGCTGTTACTTTATGTATGTTTACAGAAGCTGGAGTTGAATTTCCTAGGATGAAAAGGTTATGGTTCCTTTGCATGTGCCTCTGCTCTCAGACATTTTGCAGCCATTGGCTGATACAGAAAAGCAGCCCAGGCATGATGAAATCCTCTCCTGCTCTTATATGGATGTTCAGGCTGCAGCCTGTACTTAGTAGGACTAGATCACAGGCTCGGTATCTTTACCAATGACAGCAGTCATTCATACAAAGGCCTCAAGTAAACCTCAGATGTTAAATCCAAATTAAATCAATCAGTGAAAACATCTTACTAGGTCCAGTTCTGGTGAAACTCCTTTCTCCTTCACTGTACCTAAACAAAGCCGAGACTGACACCCTTCCACCTCAGGATAAGACAAAGTTTATTGAAGAGATGAGATGGGACAGTTCAGCAGTATTTTGTTCTTGTTCTAGCTAGGGCAGGAATAGCAGTTTTTCAGTTATCCCGTTGAAGAGCCAGGATCCACCAACCTTACTCTGTTACTTGCCCTTTGTCAGGACATCACTTCTGTCATTATGTTGTTGATTTCTGACATGCGAGATACATTTCTCCCTATTTTTCTAAAAGCTTTTCTCATGTAAAGGGTGCAAAGTTACTTCTAATTTGGCTTGGATTTCTAAATGTATCCCACTGTTGATGGAAACTAAGCAACAGGGAACATCTGTTTTACCCCAGGGCTTTTCTAGCACGGAAGGAACCATTCTCATTAGTGCCCATCTAGGAACAGCAAACCTGACAATACACCACGTTTTAACAGCAGAGGTGACACCCTCACAACTGGCATGCCTGCAGCACTGAAATACCCTCACTGCAACTAGGAGACACTTCTTCCAGCATTGACACTATTTGACTTCCCAGAGCTGTCCAAAAAAAAAAAAAAAAACAAAACCAACCCAAACCCACAAGCTTACAATTGCATTTTGTGCTTATTAATAGCAAACATTGTCACTCCAGGGTACAGAAAGCAGCTGGCCCACAGCTATGTTGCACATGATATCCTCAACTGAGGAAGATGAAGAAGCACAAAGCATGACTCTCAAGTGTGCACTTTATTATAATGTCTGAAACTGAATCAGATATGCCATCCTAAAAACCAATCAAGGCATTGTAAACTTCAGCTATGAAACAGAACAAAGGTGGTTTAAGCCTACAAGTCACTAACAGATTAAGAATACTGTAGCAAGCAACCCTACACTTCCAATCCTGCTCTTCAGTTTGTTAGCTGCAGCAACCATAGAGGCCTGAGACATTTGCTACTCAGGCTGTTCAAATAGTGATATTAAGGGGTACATATTGATGACCTACTCAGAAGCATATCACTGTGATATTTTAGGAAGTATTAAATCAAAACTTCAGCAGCAGTTGATCGCTACAGAGCACACAAGTTGCACTGCCCTATTAAGACCACCATACTTCATAAAGAAATGCTGCACCTGCCTTTTCAATAACTTACTAACAAAGGGCTGCTATTAAAGCTGATATGGCTAGCTGCTGAACTACACTCTAGGCTTAGACCACTCACAAGGCTCTTTGGTAAATCTAAGGTACTGCTACAGTGAGCAAAAACCAAAACAACCCCCCCCAACTACCTCAAAAAAAACCAAACGAAGCTCCCATTCCTTCAAGTCTCAAACAGCAAACAAAGCCAACACCTCTGTCTCAACCCTAACTCAAGAGCCACACTGATACATGGCATTTGTATTTATTGCATGGAAACAGTATTGGGGCAAGACAGAAAAAGCCTAGCAAAAGTAAAGGTAAAGCAAGTTCTTCAGGTCAGTGTTTAGTGCCCTCACCTGACTAGAAACAGTTTATTTCACTTCAGATTGTAAAACTCAAACTTCTTGAAAGTGCTGTTATCAAGAGTGGCTCTTAAGTAGAGTAACTGTATAGAAATACTATTTCTATGTACTTCTTCTGTAAAAGGCAAAAACCAACCCTTCAGTGTTAACACTTTCTATCAACCCCATGGTGTTTCAAAGTAGCGGCACTAGTGAGAAAGTGTAGTGCTCAAACACCTCATAACAAATAGAAGAAGTGGTGCCTCCAGTTCAACCTGTCTACATTACAATTTAGTGTCAGCAAATCAAGCTTGAATTAGAATCTAAGTATTTACAGTGCTTCACCATACCAGAGAGACATAGAACAACAGTGAAACAGTTTAGGAACAACAGCATTAAGGAACTACTGTAACAGACAAAAGCTTCTATCTTAAAAAAAAAAACAAACCCAAAACAAAAAAAACAAAACACCAAACCAAAAAGGACTGCTGGAGCTGTTGGGAAAGCTACACAAGTTAAAGGCAGGATTACCAAACACTGTGGAGGATGGTATAAGCTCACATGCAGTAAGCCACTTCTGGCTGTTGTTGTTCATATCTTTAGTGAATTTTGTTTCTGTTTATCTCAGCTGTAAAAGCCATTCTGTAAAAGCCAAACTGCCTATTCTGTACAAGTCACATATAGTCCAGTGCAAGCTGGCAGGACTTCAGTTCCAATGCTATTTTTAAATGCCCTAACTCATCTTTCTTAAGATGACAGTAGATATATAACTTCTTGAATACTTCAGATAGTAAGTTCAGTACAGCTCTACAGATACCAAATATATTTTGGCTAAAGAGCACAACAGGATTGTTAACACAAAACTCAACCATAGGTATAAACTACGCAGTTAAAGTGTGGCTGTGCCAGTGTGGAGAGGCAGGAGAACTACTAAGTATCTGTTGTACAGAGGACCTGAACACTCAAGACAATCCTTTTGTTTCTTTGTGGTAGCCCACATGATGAGTTTACATGGGAATTTAGAGTTAGTGGTGTTTGGGAACATTTTATTTTGTACATGACAAGATTTTACACCAAGTCAGTTAAATAATACAAATTTACATTCATGAGGAATGTTTTTAGAAAAGTCAACTTAAAAAAATCCTCCTTTACCCTTAAACCCCATACCATCCCTCAACATTTTACAGTGGAAAAAAACAAAACAATCTAATTCACATTCCCTCCTAACCCCCCAATGCAGGACGGTAGTTGAGTGCAGCTTACAGTTCATCTTTCACATCTGTGGATTCCTGTGGAGACAAACAGATAATCAGAATGTTGCTTTTTGAAAGCAGAAAAGGTTACAACAGCTGTCCCAGAAGAACTGAACTCATGTATCCATCAAGACATCAACTGCAGACAATAGCTAAGTGAAGGCTGACTTCACACAACAGCTGAACTGTTTAGAGGTAGTCCTGGTGCAAGTCTGTATTGTTGTAAGCATCTGAAACTATACTCTTGCAGATTTGTTGATATTGCCCACAGGCTGTGGAAATCCAACAGGTTACATTAAATTCACTGTAGAGGACTTGCTGTTTTCTTGCCATAGGGCACTCTGTTAAAATCTCTTAAGCTTAATTTAGCTCCAGCTTTGAACATATTTAAGTGCTTTCTTCTTACAATATAGTTTGATAAAGAATGAAATGTCATCTGTGCTGCAGATTTTTTCCCCTACAAGAAAAGCTTGGAAAGCCTCACTCTAAAAACTAGTGTCATGAAAGGCACAATGAACAAGTTTGTTGCCAAGAAGCACCACAGACAAAACCGCACATAAATATTGGTAAGATAAGAGTCAAACTTGAGACCATACCTTCTGTGTTTCACTGTCTTCAGCATCAGCATCCACCTCCTCTTCATCTTGTTCTGCCTCCTCAGCTGCATCTTCAGGCTCTTCAGGTTCCTCTTCCACCTGGAGGAAAATCACAAGTAATTTGCTTTATTTGCTTAGGATGTTTACTAGTTGTAGAGTAGCTAAATCCAGGCTATAGAAGTATTCACTATCAGCTCCTAACATTTGCCCCAAGCTACTAGAAG